AGAAAGAAAGAAAGAAAGAAAGAAAGAAAGAAAGAAAGAAAGAAAGAAAGAAAGAAAGAAAGAAATCCTTAATTAATTCTTTGCATTTGATACCATTGTCTTTTATGGCAGCACATGGACAAAAGGCTTGAATTACAGTTTCAGATAAGCTTCAGCTGGACTAATCAGAATGCATGACTTGAATATAAACTAGGGTACTCATTATTTTTATTGTTAAGGCTACATATCTTAATGGAGAGATTCTTAAAAACTTACTCCTATTAAATATTTATATTCAACACATGCTTTCTAACAGGCAATTTATTACAGATATTGGCATGTTTTTCGCAGTCAATGTATGATCCCTATGTACAGAGCTGAGTATTAGCTTCTTTTCCTATTACTCATAGACTCATATAGTAGAGAAAGTATTCATTTAGCATAGTAAGGCAGGATAAATGAATGTAGTGATATTTTAGTATCAAACCAAATAAAATATAAGAGAAAACTGAGACTATGTTCTGGAAGAAAAGAGAGAAGCACCAGTCAGATAAAGTTTTGCAAAGAAGGATAAAAGTGACTGGGGAAAAAATTGGAAAGTTGAAAAGGCAAAATTCTGAGAAAAGTATACTAATGAAAATAGAATGGAAGGAAGCAGAAGTTAAAGGAAAGGATACTGGTTTTGTCATCTGTCTACAATCAGTCAATAATGCATAGCCAAGAATTTTAGAACTCCCTAGATAATCCCGAATTACTAATCTAGCAATCCTATGTCCATGGACTATAGTGTTGTCAATTAGGCAGTTTGTATGAAAGTCTTATTAAATAGGCACTCACATTCCATCCATCTTAGTGCAATGAAGATTGGTAGATGTAAACAAAATTCCAAAGTCAAATATTCAAAAGCTAAGTTCATCTTGATGGTTTTCTGCATAACGAAGATATACGGGCTGTGATCAATTAAATAGAAGACTGTATATGATACCACCAGCACAGATTAGAGCATTAGCAAACCTTGTTTTGTCCATTTTCACAGTGTATGTTTATACCTTTTCAATTTTATGCATTTATGGCCCAAGAGAAGGAAGGACTCACTGGAGAAGAGCCTAATCCTGGGAACGCTTAAGAGCAAAAGAAGAAGGGGACGGCAGAGAATGAGGTGGCTGGGTGGAGTCACTGAAGCAGTCGGTGTGAGCTTAAATGGACTCCAGAAGATGGTAGAGGACAGGAAGGCTGGAGGAACATTGTCCATGGGGTTGCAATGGGTCGGATATGACTTCATGACTAACAACAACAATGGCCCAATAAACAAAATACTTTATGGTGCACCTGTTGGCAATATGGCTACTAGATAACACTAAGGTCATTCATGCTGCTTTATATTTTAGTTTTTTAATAAAAATGAAGATAAATTAAAATTACCTATAGAAATTTGTTTCCATAGTTTCTTTTACCACAACTATATAGTGTCCGAAATAATAAAATATTTCCAGATCTCTGATATTTTTCTTATGAAAAGCTGAGCTTAGATAGTTTTTAAAATATTTTAAATGCAATGGGAATTAAGTCATGATTACATTTGATTTTTCCATCATAATAGAAATGGATTAAAGTGACAGGACAACCTCATTTGACCAAATATGGATACACTGCTTTGCATAATCAGATATCCCTGAAATAAGTTAGATGGGATTAAAATCAGAACTTTTTCACAAACGAAGTACAGGAATATGGAAAGATTAGAGTTCACATCTTCATTACTATTCACACTTGCAAGTTTTAAGACCTACAGAGGATTTTTCTTCAAAGTACTAACAATGGCTAACGCTTTAGAGATTCATTATCAATTACATCACTTCAATTCTTATTTGCTTCCAAGATCTTTCAAGACTCTGTGTCAAGTCCAGTCTTTGCATCTATAATTAAAATTATGGAATGTCCTTTATTTGAAAATGTGATCTACTTATAATGAACCAGTATCACATGGGCAGGGGCTTTAATACTCAATTTCTCAAAGCTTCGAAAAATAATTAATTTTTTACTGTTTAATTTAGCCACAATTCTCTTTCACTGGCACACTTGCTAAAAGAATGGATGAGTTCATTTCCTTGCCCCGCCAGTAAAAGTAGAAAAATGGGTTGCTCTTTCATTTAAATCATTTTAAGTACTTTTAACTTCTGTGCAAAGTAGATACTATGTTTGTGACCAGGTTGGCATATGTAGTTTAAAATACAGATTTTCAAGTACACTTACCTGCAAGAAATCCTAGTGATCCCAGTGAGATTTACTTCCAGGTAAGAATGTTGAGGGCTGAGCTATTACCATAAAGTACCCCAAAAGAAGAAGAAAAGGTTTTCTTGTATATTCCCACCTCATGTTTTCCATGATGATCACATATTCCATTTTAGCCTGCGAGTCTCACAAAAATACTATTGGCTTCCATGCTCCTCTAGATTAGAAAATATTAGAAATGTACATAAGGAGAAAACTAAACAGTTTATACAAAGTTCTATATACTCCACAGACGCTGGTTCTAAAACAGAGATGTGTAAAAAAATAAAATATTTACAGATATTGACATAGACATTCTGCCATATTAGCAAGATGGAAAAACTTTGTCTCTCCAATTTTCAACCACAGGTAAAAGTTCACAGGAAAAAGGTAAGGACTGAACAAAACTTATTTATAGCATCTGATGATAAAATGCACATTCCGTACTTTTATGTTCTTTCAATGAGACATTCCTCTGTCATCAAGTAACAGACCAGCTGATCATACATTAGAAGAGCTACACCAAGCGGACAGCAACAATGTCTCCACACTGTAATGATGTTGGGGATGTTGCTGATATGTCATCGGCTACACAGTCATAATGTATTGAGTACTACAGACATCATGACAGATTGTCAGCTATGTTGGTAGACTACTGAGGCAGCGGGCTTATAGGCTATTCTCCTGCCCATTGCAGCCCAACTTGTAAAGATAGAGGACAGCTCCATCTTTTGAGCCCATTATACAACTAGGCAACATTTCCAAAAATTACTGATGTCTCAAAAATATTGCTAAGAAACTTATTTCATAAATATCCCTATAATTCTAATATATATGTTACATGTACAATATCAGATACATCTTTGCAAGTAGACTTGTGTTTAAAATCAGTCAAAATGTTTTATAAACACAAACCACTAAAACTAATTTGAGATCTGGGGGGAAGATTTTTTTTAAAAAAATGATTTCCTTATCTCTCACTTTCTCAGCTATTCTTCTTAATTGTACTACTGGCCTCTGACAGCTTAATGCCTTATGTATTCCTCATTTTCTGGGCAGATCACTAATTTGTGATGATAATTAGGGACCCCTGTTATTCCATCTGAGACTTAGATCTTTAGGCTAATTAAAATGAAGTGTTGCAGATATGCAAGCAGCTGATAAAGTGTTATAACCAGGCACCTGGAATCTAGGCATTTGGATGGCATCAGAAAAGAGAGAAAGAATATATTGCTGAGCAACAATTTAAAGAGAAAATAGCAGTAAGCTAGTCATGAATAGAAGTTTTCTATCACTACTTTCAGACTGAGAATTCTTAACTATGCTCAATCATTGCTTTTCTGGTAATGTTTGCTTCTGATACACACACACATACACATACGCGCGTGCTACTACAGTAGTCCTCATTTAGCAGCCACAATTGGGACCAGTGGTTGTTAAGTGAATTGGTTGCTAAGTGAAACGACCACTGTGCTTTGGATCATATTTCAGTTTTGCTTTGCTTTACAGATATGTGAATATTGATTGAAATTATTTTTTCATTGTCACTGCAACTGCATATGGTTGGTGTATAAGGTAACACATCTACAGATAGTGGATAGGGAATTTCTAATTTTCCTGAGCAATCATCTGAAGTTAGCATGTTTACTCCAATTTCAATTCCAGACAATTTTTATAATCATTGTTTAATAATCATTGTTTAAAAAACAGTTGTAATATAGCAAAATATCTCTGGAGTGTATCATGGGTCTTTCAGTATTCTGTTTAACTGACTTACATCAGAACCACAGTTCTATGTTCAGAATAGAGAAAGTCAGTCAAAGTCTAGGATGTCACAAAATAGTGGCAGATGGTTAACTGTATTTATATAGAATAGAACAGAACAGAATAGAATATAGAATAGAATTCTTAATTGGCCAAGTGTGATTGGACAGACAAGGAATTTGTCTTCAGTGCAGATTCTCTCATTAAAAATACATTCATCAAAAATCATAAGATATGTTATTGTTGTAGATACCTTTGGGATTCACAACCTCAAGTGTGTCAAGAGAGGGCTGATTTTGAATGGCATACACTTTTGGGTAAGGACTAGAGGTACAATTGTTTGCTGTGAAATTATCTCTGTTGCATCAAATATGAAATAGGGCATGCTTCATTGACCTTTTAGTGACCAAAAGATCACACAGTGGAAGATTCACAATTCCAGCTATATATAAATACCATGGGGACCATTGTAAATCAAGAATATGAGATTGCAATTATTTTGCTACTAGCAAAAGTAAAATCAGTAAAATCAGCTCAACATGATTGTTTCTACATATTTCTGCAGAAGTATGAGACTTGAGACTTTCAAGAAGAGATTGGACTGCCATTTGTCAGAAATGGTGTAGGGTCTCCCGCTTGGGTGGGGGGTTGGACTAGATGACCAACAAGGTCCCTTCTAACTCTGATTATATGTTATCTGTATACATATTTATAAGCCAAAGTAAGAACAGGCACCAAAGTGATATATATATAAAATAGTGATATCAGTAAAAGATAACAGTGCTATAAAGTGACCTTTGTCCTTCTGGGATATTTATTAATACAAAAATATTTATTGCAGCAATTTTTGGAGGACAGTTTTGTTCATTTCCTGCAGCAAAACAATGGATGACTGACATCCTAAATATTGCTTCATTTTATTGTGAAAAATGCCTCATGTGGCAACATTATCTTCTGTCTATAACGTTATGCTACTTTTTCCATCTCACACACATGAGTTGTAAAGCACATTTTAACTGATAGCACTATAGCTATCAATTTGGAAGCATCCATAAATTTTGGGGTGCCTTCTGGAAAAGCAGTGGCACTTTTTCTTTGTCCATGTAGCAACTATTCATTTTGAGGAATCTGTGGGGAGGTACAAGCATACAGCCTAAACTTTCTTGAAGAGCATCATGACAGGTATGCAAAGAAGGACAGCTAGATTTAGTGCACATTTGACCAAAGTAGAGCCACATTTGAGGGGATGAGATTACAGTACTATTTCTACAAATGCTACTTCTCACTCTTAAATGAACCAAGGCATAATGGAGTATTGCTGGTGACAACCAAGTTTCTAATAATCTTTGGGGATAACTTGAGATCTCTTTGCTTCAAACATCCCAATATAATAAATCTTCTGTAAGAAACAGAATACTCTGATTTTCCACCATATATGTGTAATATCTAGGAAAGTGATTTTATGATCTTATTTCAGAAACAATAAGAAACTTGGTCAAAACAGTACGACATAAACTATACTCATGTATACAATGAATTGCATTATATGACACAAATTAAAACTACCAAAATACAGGTAGTCCTCCATTTATGACCACAATTGACCCAAAATTCTGTTGCTAAGCAAGACAGTTTTATGGCCCACTTTATGAACTTTCTTGCCAAGTTAAGTGAATCACTGCAGATATTTAGTAACATGGATAATTGAATATGGCTTCTCCATTGACTGTCAAAAAATCGCAAAAGGTAATCAACGTGACTGGGGACACTGAAATAATCAGAAATATGAGTTAAGCATCTGAATTTTGATAATTTGATCATGGGGGTCCTGCAACAATTATAAGTGTGAAAAATGGTTAC